GAAAATCGCATATCGCGTTATGCAAATAGCGCATAGCGCATAGTGCATAGTGCATAGCGCATAGCGAATAACGCATATCGCTTATCGAAAAGTCGAAACTCGAAAATCGCATATCGCGTTATGCAATTAGCGCATAGCGCATAGTGCATAGCGCATAGCGCATAACGCATATCGCTTATCGAAAACTGGAAAGTCGAAACTCGAAAATCCCTTATCGCGATATGCAAATAGCGCATAGCGCATATCGCATAGTGCATAGCGCATAGCGCATAACGCATATCGCTTATCGAAAACTTGAAAGTCGAAACTCGAAAATCTCATAACGCGTTATGCAAATAGCGCATAGCGCATAGCGCATGGCACATAGTTCATAGCGCATAGCGCATAGCGCATAGCGCATAGCGCATAGCGCATAGCGCATAAAGCATATCGCTTATCGAAAACTCGAAAGTCGAAACTCGAAAATCGCATATAAAATAAAGACTCGAAACTCAAACATCGCGTATCGCGTATAGAGTCCATCCTGTGTCTATACACAGGATGGACTCTATAGTCCATCCCAAATCTAGTGATAACTTGCGCGCTACTATACTAACTAATAACTAATCTAAAACTTTGAAGGCCTAGAGCCCGCCGCTCAGGCGACATGGGCCGCGCAGTCGGCACAGGTGGCACACTGTGACTAGGCGGCGGCGGCGGCGCGGCAGCATGCCTATGACCAAGCAGTTTCTCAGTTCCGGGGCCGAGCTATATAAATAGAGTCTGTGTCAATACATCGCTTGTATTATCGTGACATTAGCCGGTACGACTAAAGAAGGTAAGTTATTGTTAATGCTATTAAAATCTGTTATCTATTTTTTAAATTAAATTTTGTGGAAACTGAAAAGGAAAACATGTTTACAACATCAAGTCGAGGATGGGTGCAAGTCAATGGGCTGTTGAAGCGCCCTCCTAGAATTCCGACTCATACAAACCATGACAATACATTTATAAAATCATTTATTAGCGTTTTTGGGTTTTTCTTCAAAATTATTTACATTGTTGAAATGTATGTTATGTTACATGTAGGATGTAATAAGCAAAAAAAAAAAACTCTTGTATCAAATAAAGTCTGTTGTAATGTTTAGTGTAAGGCAATGAGGGCACCATGGAGCATGCGCGTCCCAAGCTTGTTGGCGAGCGTGCTTACGAGCGTGATCGTTTCGGCGGCGGCGCTCGACATCTTGGTCGTTTCGCCGTTCCCAAGCAAGAGCCATGTCATCTTAGGGGATGGATTAGTTAACATTTTATTAGAAGCGGGACACAAGGTGAATATTATCCAGTTTAATTTATTTGTAGTTAATTTAATTTACATTAATCGGTGCAACTGTAGGCCTACGTACTCGAAAGTACCGAGAGTGACTGCTGAGCTATATACGAGTAAGTACTGGTATAACGCCTGGCAAACTTCTTGAACAAAAAGCGGCGTAGTGGGGGAAGTTTCGCGCACGTACACTTTTAGACAAAATAATTGACCTATTTTAAGTATTTAAATTTTAATTTTGTTTTTTTAATTTTAAAATAAAATTTAATTTAAAATTGAATTTTAAGAATACGACAGACATGAATAAACAACTTGTGCAATTTCTTTAGATGATTTTTGTTTCATGAAACAATATACATCATATACTATTTTCTTGGCTTGCCTTTTTAGAACAATGTTACTTTTTCGTGGCATACTCAACGCAAAAAGTCAAAACAATAACAATCAAATAAAACTTAACAATAATAAACAAATGAGACTCAAGAATAACAACAATAGAAAAAAAATTATAAACAATTATTACCGAAAATAAATAACAGCGAAATTGGCCCAATAAAATTAGAGATAAGTGTATTCGGGAGTAAACGGAACATGGGGAAAGAAAGAAAAAGAAAAAAAAAGAAGGAAAGGCCGACTGATTTACCAATAGCAAGAGAGCGCGCGCGCCGCATCCCCTTTGCCCCGCCAAAAAGACCCAAAAATCGATTTCTGCGCAACTAAATGTATTGTGTGTTTGCCGGGCTTTATAGCCAGAACGCAGCGTCGCTTCGTGTCATCGTCGTAGCGTTGTCGCTGCACGCGCGGATTCTTTTGTAATGTTCAAATAAATCATTTGTACCAAGTAGTATAAATATAATCGGATTTGCAGACATTTAGGAAGATTAACTCATTGATTGTATAACACATAGCGCATCATTCCACCATACAATGACTGTGACAACAGTGTGCAATCATTCGATCCTCGCCTGACATCTATCATGCCCCATGCACATTCAGCCAGTACAACGAGTACATGTTTAATGGCCAGTAACTTTAATCGTTCGAAAAGTATCAATATTTGCGCACGTTATAAATACCTATATATTATCTATCTCTCTAAATATATTATATACATAATGTTATGTAGGTGCTCTAAGGCCACGATGAATATGTCGCAATTGATCGAATGTTGTTGCTACAAAAATGACTTGCAGTTTTGAAGATAACCGCAAGTAACAAATAAAACATGAATGTTATTACGAATTACGTTAAAGATAAAGATAACGATTTCGTAATGTGCATATATATATAGTTATTACATCACATATTGATTTTGGCCCAGCCGCAACAGCAAGAGGCCACCGAGCTAAATGATTTGAACTGTGACAGTAGAACCATGTTCTCAGGTGACGTATATAACGACCGAGCCGCAGAACTCGACCAACCCTTCGTTAAGTCAGATTGACGCGAGCAGGAACATTGAGTTTTTTCCGCGTAAGTTAAATGATTATTTTATAGGACTATAAAATCTCTCAACAATCAACCATCTTTTTTTTCCAAAGATGAAAGAAGCCCTAATCATACTTAGCACTTTAGAAAACATGTATTGTCAGTTCCTTAATGGTTTTATTTTGCTTGTTATTTGTTTTTTTTTGTCTACTTATCTATGCTAATATTACAAAGAGGAAAGATTTGGATTGTTTTTTGTATTGAGACAACTCAATAACTACTGGACCAATTACAAAAGTTCTTGCACCATTAAAATACATGTTATTACCCAGTAGGCTTTGGTTTAATTTCATGCGAACGAAGACGCGAGCAACAGCTAGTACATATATACTCGTATATGTGTATGAGTAAAGTTATTTGTGCTATGTGCTGAAAGCCAATAGTGTAGGGAGGGACTACAGACTTTCCATGTTATAGCGGCCGCGGGCTCAAATCGCGGTCTCGACTTGGCACACAGAGATTACGGTATTTAAAAAAAATTGTTTGTAATGTTGAGTGCAGCCAACATACTGGACATGAAAGCTGTGATAAAAAAGGAAATGAACACGGCGGACCCGCAGCACTTCATAGGCGCCATGCTGCAGATCGCGCGCGCCACACTGCAGCATGAGCAAGTTACCGCGCTGGCGGGCGCCGCCGCTTTCGACCTCGTCATCGCAGAATGGATGTTCACGGAGGTATACGCGGGGTGAGTGGCCACCATGCTTCCTTTCCATTTTACTCTTACCTTAAATACGAGTACGATAATGATGATGACAATGAAGAGCAGTGAATGACAGTTGAGGTAAGAAAACCAAAAGTGTCGGTTGTGACATCAGGCTGGCGGCGGTGTTCGAGTGCCCGCTAATCTGGTTCTCGACGATGGAGCCTCCCTGGATGGTGCTGCAGCTGGTGCACGAGGCCACCAACCCCAGCTACACGCCGGCGCTGCTCTCCCGCAACCTCCCTTTACCTTTGCGCAGCGGCTCGAGGAGCTCTTCCTGCAAACGGCCTTGTACTTCGTCAAGGAGTGGTGAGTTTCCTTTTTCAGAACTTTGAAATAGACATATCCAATCCTTATATTTGATGCGTAAATTATTTTTGTTACCGAACTTAGACGATTTTTTTTTAATTTAAGGAGCATGTACTACAAGGAGAAAGAAATTTATGATAATTATTATGGACCGATATTGGAAAAAAGGGGACGACTACTCCCGGCGTATGATGTGATGAGGTTCAACGCGTCCCTTGTCCTAGGGAACTCGCACCCGGCGCTGGGTCTGGCAGGCGCGCTGCCGCACAGCTACCGGCCCGTCGCCGGCTTTCACGTGCAGCCCGCGCCGCCGCCGCTGCCCGCGGTAAGCCCTGTTCGCTCCATAGCGCCCTACGCTCGAGACGCTACGACCGCAAATAACGCTCGGCACTCTTGCAGGAGCTACAAAAGATAATGGACGCGGCTAGCGAGGGCGTCGTCTACTTCAGTATGGGTACAATCGTGCGGCCCGAAGACCTGCCACCGGAGACGAAGCAATCGCTGGTAGCGGCGCTGGGCCGGCTTCGGCAGACTGTGGTATGGAAGTTCGCTGAGCGGCCGTTGAATCTGCCCGTCAACGTACACGTCGTGCCTTGGGCGCCTCAGCAGAGCGTGCTAGGTCACTTCTCTCACTTACCTTAATTCCCTTAAACTTTCATTTTTATTCTTTTAAGTTTCACATTTTCATTTTTATTAATTTATATTTTAGCTCACCCAAACTGCGTGCTATTCGTGACGCACGGCGGCCTGCTGTCGCTCACGGAGGCCGTGCACTACGCGGTGCCGGCCATCGGTATTCCGGTCTTTGGTGACCAGCATATTAACGTACTGTTAGGATGGCGGTTCGTGGGTCCTTTTTAAAAAAAGAAAAAACACACTTTCTACTGCTAATTTTAATTATAAGAAATACAAAGGTATAAACTTACTGCTAATGGCTAACGTACTGCTCTGTTGCGGCATGCGCGTTGCCTTTTTATATAATATTGGAAGGATGGGGGGTATTGATGATCTAGCATTTTCAGCCTGTAAAGACTCGTTCATAACACCTCCCCCTTTTAGACTGAGCTTTATTATTATATCTAAAAAAAAATAAAGCGATGGATTATTTAAATAATAAAACTCAGTTTACATTTCAATTTAAAAAGATTATAAAAATATTGTTAGTATAAAAGAACTTACTTATTAATATTAATTTTAATTATAAGCCCCAAATAAAAAAAATCAAACCTAAGATAAAAATTATATAATATTAGATTATATTAACATAGGAAAGAGATGTCAAATAATGAATGTTTGCTAGTTAATAGTTGCTTAGGTTTCTATTGGACTTGTGAATATTTCTAGAAACAGTACTAAATTTTTTTATTTCAAAGTTAGGTAGGCTTTTTACTGATTTTTTATCTGAGTCGGAATCTTCTGAAATTTCAGTAAGTTCAATAGATGTATTGATATTGTTATTTCTTTTATTTCTTTTTGAATTATAACACTGATTGAATATTTGAATACAACAAGAAGAAGCATTACAACAAAAACATTTTTTATAAATTTTGTAAGCAACAAAAGAAATTATAGCAGCAATTACTACATATGTCATTGCTGAATAGTAACTTCCATATTT